GATCCCGGGGCAGACGTATTCGAACTCTCGTAACTGAAATACTCAAGTATAGCAGCGGTCAGAAAACATGTATTGGCGCTGGCGTGAGCATCGCTTATCGTTCTGCAACCACCCCAGGGTTGCGCAGCATGCCATCAAGAATGCAGACGACACCCACCCGGAATTTTATCGATTTTTATCGCAGTCATCCAGGCCCAGCGATAGACCACCTGGGACGGTGGCTTGATGCCGCCGGCGGTGGGAGAGTGAGGTTGCCGACTCAGCGCATTTCTTTCCTCACTATTAATAATTTGACCCGCTTGCGGCTATCACGGTGCGCTAAAAGCCGTGGGGCTTGGAGGGTTGCCAACTGATAATTCGGATCTTGCAGTCAGTCCAGTTTGTTTTGATGCGGCTGACCGGCGGACTGAGTGACAGGCTACAATGGCTCCTTCTTAGTGGGGTCTTTATGATACTTCCGAAAATATCTGACATCTTAGCTAGGTGAATAGGCACGCCTAAGAGGGGCGGCCTTCCGTCCTCGCTTTTTTACTCTGTCTTGACATCGGGCACAGCTTGGAAAGGGAAGAGAGAGAGTGCGGTAGATGCTATGCCAGTATAGTATCACCCGCAAGTCACCGTCTCTACACCAAACTGCTTGGAGTACACGCTTTACATAATCGAAATCAATGGCCCAACTGTCGTTATCTTCATCCCACGCCTAATTTTGAGTACTTATAACTAAAACGGCTTCCACAGTATGGATAACAGGAGCTACGTCAACATATATACATATAACGATTATTTTGGTGAAAGTAAACTATGCAATATCGGTAGAAGAAAAGATCAACTCACTTTGTGTCCATCTGCAAGCAACTCCTGTAGCAGTTTTTCTAGCAGACGCATTTTCCCACTAGCACTGAGTAGCATTTCAAGTCGAGTAGACGACACCACCTCATCCTGCTCTTCCTCTTGCGAGCTACACCGATAAGATGGGGAGTGGTAGAAACCGTCCGGTGCTTCGATTGCTAAGTACGGATGATTGACAATTCGCCGTAGAAGCATGAGCCGGTTAGAACGCATAACATCCGGAAGGAATTCGAAGTTGTGCGGATTGCCCGGAGGTATGGTTGCTGCTTTTGGTGGGAAATTTTCAAAATCGGAATTCTAAAAGAGACCATAATAAGATCGCCTGTACACAACCACGCCAAGACAATGGGGAAGCAACTGGTGCAAACACTTCAGACGCATAATGCGAAGAAACCGGAAGTCATTCCAGTGTGTTTTTCGATTGCGACCCTCTCCCAGTCCTGAATCCGTTGGCATTCTGCCAAACGAGGTATCCTCTTTCCGATACTTTGGCGTTACTCTGGCATCTAACTTCTCATTTACTTTTCACATTGAAGGAATTTTTATTAAAATCCGAAAACTTTTATATTTTATCCACCATTTTCGTCCATATCGCACACCACAAGACCTAATCTGGTGATTTATAGATGCCTGCATTCTCCGCCTCATTGTTTACTGCTCTCCAGTTATTTTTCCAGCTTTAATTAAAAAACACCTGGTCATTTTTAAACGTATTCTCCGAATGCTGTCTTCAGCTGCCGGTGTTACCCATGTTATTTTAGCTGATATTTTAATACAGCGACATTTTAAACGGTCAAGCAATTTTCTGATCGCATTTTTAGTGAGATCGCCCACCCTTCCCACTCTGAACTAATGGCCGCGAAGTCTACCCGTACTATGCGTCGAGGCTTCCATCATATATCTTGCCGTACATCGGCATATCGGCACTCTGTACTCCTGTTCCTAGCACGCAACCTCACGTGTGAAGAAATGAAAATTGAGAATTTGAAAGCCGATCTGTCTCCATAACAGATGTTGATATCGTGTAAGCCTTTAACTTTGAGTATTCTATGACCTTTTGCCATGACCCCCTATCTTACCTTATCCCTTGCTCCCCGTGAACGCAGCTATTTTTTGCTGAATGTTTTGGATACTTACTTCGAAATAAAGCATCCTTTCTTTCCCTCTCTCTAAAAAAAAAAAAACCCACCAACTTGCCAGACCAGTGTAGCTGCGGAGTAAGGAATCGTTTCGCTGGCTGCTCTCCACTATGCAGAAACAGGCGGGGAATCCGGACCAAAACTCCCGGTTGCACTGATTCAGACCACAATCAGGTGCACGCCATTGCTGTGTACCTAATCGGAATGAACCATTTAGAAAAGGTGCCCAACATAGGTAGAGCGGCCCGGTAGTAATTTTGCATTAAAGACAGTTGATGTGCCAAATGCAAGCATTTCTAATCTTACTGCGATTATTTCTGTTATAAGCGATCGGAAAGGTCATTAAAAAGAGAGATTCTTCACGGTCCATTGTGAAGAACTTTAGTTTTACCACACCACGCACATAATGCTAGTAAATGTAAAATACTACGTCAAATGATCATATTGCGTACGACGAATTGGGAAAAAATAAGGGTTCACATCGGGCCTTAGAAAACCGTACGAAAGACTAAATGAGGACCCACCAGAAATGGCCACATAGGGAGAAGAATAGTTGGCCAAGTAGTTAAGGTAAAGCACCTCATAAACCCCAAGGCCCAGCCTTTTTATTAAAATAAATGCCACTGTCTATTCTAATTTTCTACCCATAAAACCCCTATAATTCCCGTTCCCGTAGGACAAAATACTGGGACTAGGGGTATATTGAGTGCACTACTTAAACTACCGTGTCCGAATAGTTCTGAGAGGTGATGGTCCACGCACCAAAAAGAAACCATTTAATTAATCCTCAATTATATCAGTCCAGTTAACTTCGACGTTTTGACATTCTGGATGCAAATGTATATGCCGAGTTCATTTTACCACTGAATTGTTACGTCCCGGATTCGTACTGGAAGTAACCAGGAACGGAAGGAGAGGCAACGAGGCAATTAAGAGCAGGCCGAGGACGATTGGCGTAGTGATTACAAACATATTCAACAAACTCCCAGTAGGCGGGGGACTCGAGTGTGACCTTTCAATGGGTAGATTAGCGGCAGTATCCAAAATGCATCCCGTAAATACTAGAAGCCGTATTAGTGATCATTTTTATCCCTTGCCCTACCCGAATAACGAATCTGAAATGGCTGAAAAATGTAATGCTTGCATGAGTGGTAGATTAAAATAGGTCCTAGGTACTTCCTGAAATCTGACCTTCGGCGTTTATCAACATATATTTTGATTTTTAATATTCTCCAAAACAACTGTGACCACGCTTCTCAACAGCATTTTCCCGTCTTTATTTATATGTCACTCTAAAGAATTGTGCTATACACCTGGTTTGTTTTATAACATAAAATATTGAGACAATCCACTCGGTATTTTACTATCCTTCACCATCACAACCACCAGCACACCTACCATCAAGCAGAAAATATCTCACACACACTTTTCTGTCGGTATCTGTCAATTAAGGCCTGGCGGCGCATCTAACTAAACATTCGTGTCTTCTATGCTACAGGGATTATTCCACTCTTTGAAACGGGAGCAGGGTGTAGAAGGGAGGTGAACATAGGTAATAGATACGAAACTTTCGG